TGAAACGACACCGACAGCCACCCAGCCGTCTTCAAGTGAATCCAAGAATGAAGACATATACATATTTCATAGGGGGGAGGTGTTGAGGAATGATGGTAGTAGTTTACTCTAAGTGATAGTAGTACTGGGCGATACCAGATCATTCCTGTATAAAAGACTGTTTGTCGAGTACTTTACGTTCGGCTTTCGCTTGGATCTAATAAACGACTACGCTGCTCGTGGTTTCGATACGGAAGAAGCGATCCCCTTTTTGGGGATTTCGCATGAAAAGAGGACTGTTAAAGCAGTGAAACCTGTAAAGAATACCCTCATAAATATTTTCAACATCTTGACTTCCATAGCTCCACTCCCACTATCAACTGAAATGTCGAAGCATTGCCCGGCTCTGAGTGACCCTTGAGATTACGACCCCCCCCCATGGCTTTCGGACAAAATGCTGTACCGTGGTGCCACTTGCCTTTGAAGACCCACGCTCAGCTGCGAGGTCGTCCTTGGCACCCGCCCGGTGCTAATGAGCCATCAACTGTCAAAGCTTGGCGGGTTCCCGTCCGATCATGTGCGGGGATGGGGATTCAGGATTATAGGATAGGCTAATCCCTCCATACTCCGCTTGAGATGCAACTTGCGAAGCAGACACGCCGCACGCCGCTATCATTTCCCGATCCCATCTGTACCGTCCGCGGCCGGCCGTCCGCGCAGCGCTGTCGCATGCGGCACTTTGCCAAGTCTTGTAGTTTGCGCTTTCGAATACGATTAAAACGCAAACTCCTGATGCGGATGACAAATGAGGCGTTGCTCATGCTGCAAAGTCTGAATCAAATGATGGCGAAGGCTAGAATCGAAGAGCATCGATCTGATTTAAATGTGAGTTAATTGTTAATAAAAATGTAAATAAATGTAAAATAATTATAAACTTGTGCACATTTTTGCGATTCAGGGCGAATACGGTTCCAGAGCCATAAAAATCAATGAGTGGCTTTCATCAACGAATAAGGTCGTTCCAGTCTCATGTTTGGTGGGAATGCACGGCTTTTGAGGGATTTTGCAGAAGCAGTATAGTGTTTTTGAATTCTAGATCTCGTCATCAAGTGATTCAGAGTTTGCAGCATGTGCAACACCTCAATTATCTGCATCAGAAGTTTGCGTTTCAATCGTATTCGAAGCGCAAACTTCAAGATATGGCGGTTTGCCAGGAGCGCTGCGCGCAACAGGCTCCGTGCGGACGGCCGACCAAGTGCAGATGGGATCGGGATATGGAAGCGACGTGCAGGGTGTCTGCGCCAATTTGCATTCAAGCGCAGTAAGGAAGAATTAGCCTATCCCACTGTCTGATCCCACCCCGCGCATGTTCGGACGTGGAAACCACCACACTTCCACAGTAGGGGTCCCGCTAGCCGCGGACATGCTAACAGTGCACCTCGCAGCAGAGCGTGCGTTGAAGGTGAGAAAATTGACTTTCTGAATCTTTACACCACTAAATCAATGTGAAGTAGCTTTTTTTCACAAAGCTGGGCGATTGATTGTTTGTAAACCTTTTATGGTTTTCTTGCTGAATACGGTGTAGCACTGCGGTGTGATGCATGGGCTGTACCCGTTGCGCCGGGTCAGCCAGAGATGAACATTTCATAGATATCCCGCTCAACCGTATGTTTCCTAAGAGCGCGTTCATACTTCGCGCAGCGTCCACCAGCGACTATCAGCGGTTAGAGCGTCCGTCAGCGTCAGCAAGTAGGAAAGCATAGATATAGATCTAGCGAATGCAGCGTTTACCAGAGTCTGATAACATTTACTGGCGTCTGTCAGCGTCCGCCTGCGACCATCAGCGTCTCAAGGTACTAGGAGAGCATAGATATCGATCTAGCGTCTGAAACCGTCTACCAGCGTCCCTAGCGTCCACTAGCGACGAGGAGTACGGTATTGCGTGACAGTGCGGTGCGTTGGCACACGCTAAAACTTTAGGAACCTCAATCCTGCTATCTCCTCCCTCCTACTTTTTCAGACTCTCTACTCCTGGTCGCTGGCGGACGCTGGTAGACGCTAGATCAATTATCGCACTTTCCTAAGCTCTCGAGACGCTGACGGACCCTCGAGAAGATTGTCGCTAGTGGACGATGCCGAAAAGCATGAACGCAGCCTAGGGTTAAAACGTGGAGCTTTTCTGACTTCAGAGACCACTGGTTTTTAGTGTTAGGTCAAATCCTTGGGTACCACAATACTGCTAACGATTGAAACGGATCAAAGCCATGAATAATCGTGATGTTGACTAGTGGTGTTAACCTTTTCCGTGAATTGGGTTTTGCTAGATCACATCTGTAAAATGGCACCGCTTGCCACCCGGAAGATTGCGGGAGTGAAGCTTGTTGATTGTGATTGCTGGATGTTTATTCATTTTATCTATTGTTTCTTTATGCTTTGTGTTTCTTGTCATTCTATGTGCGATGCCAGCACGCTAGCTGTGGAAACTAGGTGACCAAGCCTCGCAGAGAACGTACTCTGTACAGCCCGCCTTGCCTCTGGTTAAGATCAACTTTGAAGGTTGGCCTACAGTGCGCCCTAAAATGATAGATGTGCGCCACCTCGAAGATCTTGATCCTTGTCATGTGCGAGGAGCATGATTCCGCAGTCGTAGAAGTGTGCCACTCTCCTCAC